CTCTCTCTCTCTCTCTCTCTCTCTCTCTCTCTCTCTCTCTCTCTCTCTCTCTCTTGGCGCACTCATTTTCTTTCTTTCTTTTGTATCAGGAATAGTGGGCGATATACTCCCTTTTAAATGCAGGGAATCTGTGTTGCGAACTGGGCCGCCCTGGCAACTTTGGTTGCATGGGCGTCCCTCCTGCCGTGGAACACCGACGCCCGGGGGTTCTCTTCATCGCAATTTCTTTTGCTTGGGGAGTCAAACCCTTTGCAGACGACTTACTGGCCAAGTGTCAGGGAAAAGGTCCTTGTAAAAAAATAAAAATAAATAAAAATAAAAAAGCTGATAAAGACCAGTAAAAAGACTATGTTGTGCAGAAATATAAACTGGATAACTTTTGCCTCAGGGTCGGGTCGAAATTCTTAATTCATTTTTGGCCCGGCCGGGCAAGTGTTCTTGGGCCACTCTGGTAACATAGGTAGGGATATAATATCTGATAATCAGATAATGGTATCTAATTATCCTAATATCTATAATCTGCCAGTTCTGATCTGAATATCTGACACCTTTGTCAGTCTGAAATCAGACTCGTCTTACTCGACTCTCAGCATGCATACAAACAGATGACGATCAATATGGCGCCTTGCGCCCACACAAAGCTCAGAGATAATGGAGCCAAGAACACAACTCAGATTCAAACTTGTCTTAGTCGGCTATGGCTGACACTCGCACTCTGAGCAGCTTGTTCGTACACACACCCTGGATCTCCCTGGATGTCCCGCACATACACTCAACACAACACAACACAACACAACACTCCCACACACACACACGCTGATCACCTATCTCTAACCTATGGCAGCTATGGCTGCCTTCTTCCTCACTAACTACACTAGCGGCTATCGCCACTTCTTCCTCCTCACAGCGTACTTCTCCTTCGGGCACCTGCAGACCTCCTTGCACAAGACGCTCAGGCAGCGCTTCCGCATGGCTCACAGGCAGAATGAATGAATGAGTTGACGCTGCCTCTTGATTTCTGCTTCAGATTGTCAAAGGTCTGCCTTTCGGGGCAGAGTTAGTCTGCCCACTTGCCTACTTGTCTACAGTTTACCGCCTAGAACCTATGAAAGGTTGTTTCCAGACCTTCCGGAAGTCTGTGGACTTGGCCTTTCGAGTACTGTAGCAGCTACGACCTTGACTCTTGCGGACTGTAGTAGCTACGACTCCTACGACCGCTAGGACTTCTAACCTACAGACCCAACGATCCGACTACCTACAACAAACAAACTGGCGACTCTCAAGACACAGGTCGTGGGTTCAAACACACACAGGGCAACTGATACTGTACACGGGTGAGGGTGAGGTCTACGGATCGAGCCCCGGGAACGGCATCTGCTACCGTAAAGGTGAAAACCGTTTCAAGTCAGTAGCTTGGGTGATTGTTGTGTCCATGGTACTCCGTAATAATCTGTCCTGAAAACCTTGCTGCATAGAGCGACATTGACCTTGTCTTCGGTTCAGTGCCCAATGGTATCTAAAATAGTAAAATCTCTTCCTTTATCCCAACAACAGGTTCCAGTCATTCCTTTTTCCTGCCTCCTCCTCCTCCTCCTCCTCCTCCTCCTCCTTCTACTTCTTCTTCTTCTTCTTCTTCTTCTTCTTTTTCTTCTTCTTCTTCTTCTTCTTCTTCTTCTTCTTCGTCGTCGTCGTCGTCGTCGTTGTCGTCGTCATCGTCTTCGTCGTCATCGTCTTCGTCTTCATCTTCTTCTTCTTTGTCGTCTTCGTCTTCGTCTTCGTCTTCTTCTTCTTCTTCTTCTTCTTCTTCTTCTTCTTCTTCTTCTTCTTCTTCTTCTTCTTCGTCGTCGTCGTCGTCTTCGTCTTCGTCTTCGTCTTCGTCTTCGTCTTGTTGTTGTTGTTTTGGGGCGTTAGCCCCAAACATTTGTTGTATCCGTCAACAGATCATCATAGCTCTCAGCCACTGGACTGCCATCGTTGTGGTCATTCGTGGTTTTCTTCTTGTACTTTTTTTCTTGTTGCGCTTACTCTGAATTCAACCAGGGACTCAGCGAGTGATTAGGAAAAGAAATAAAGAAAGAATTGTTGGTCCATTGAGGGGAAAAGGAAACGCAGAAAAACAGAACAAAAAAAAGTTATTCCTTTGGAAAAGGACCTGGGAGGTGGGGATGGAAGAGGGAGAGGGGGGTGGTCTGTGGACATTCCTTGGTCGCATGAAGCCGTTTATATGCGTCCCTTCTTCTTTTTTTTATTTATTTTAAAGATACAAACTGTCTCCTCCCCATGTATGGGGGACAGCTGTATTTTAACTACACTTTTCTCTTCTCTCAATTCATCATCACACTAGCTACCCATGCAACCGGGACCAGTATCGTTCCAATTTCAACGGATGTCCCGAAGGACGACTGAGCTAGGCCATTTTATTTAATTCTTCTTTGGAAAATTCAAAATTCTGATGATTGTTAACTTGTGGGCTGTTCATCATTTCATTATTGCTCATTTTTCCTTTCAAAAAAAAAAAAAAAAAAAAAAAAAAGACATTGCTCATTTTCCTTGCAATATCTTTTTCTTTCTTTTTATTACAGGAACGTCAGACTGTCGCTTTCACAAGCTCTCCAGTGTCAAAGGTAAGAGAATGTTGCCCATTGAATTTCATTGGATGGGGTCAAGCCTTAGTTAAACCAAATATTTTCCTCTTTTTTTTCTTTTTTTTTTTGGAGAAACAACACATGCCCCATCTATTCATTCTGGGGGGCGTCAGTCCAGTTGCTCATCACCGGCAAGCATGTTTGTACAGAAAAAAGGAGCAAGAAGGATCAAAGATTTGACAGACAATTAACTTTTTAACTTTTTCCAAGTTTGTGTGAAAGACACTGGAATGCCTTTTTTTCTTTTGACTCTTTTCATGTAACTTGATAGAAGATTAGAGGGTAAGGAATCTAAGGATGCCTTTTTTTTTCTTTTTTTTGGTATCCTTAAAAAAGAAAGGAAAAAAAAAGGATCGTCGTCTGCCTGGAAAAGGGTTTGTTCTGGTGACAGTCAAAGACACACACACACACACCCACACAAAGGAAAAATGCGCTTCACCTGTGTGTGTGTGCAAGAGGCAGAGTGGCACGCCGCCCAGCAAACTGCACCCCGTGCTCATTGTGTGCCCATCACCCATCGGCACCATGCGCACTGCACCGGTGCGCCACTAGCATGGTTTTCCCTTGTCTTTA